GGCTGGCATTTCGTGCCAGGCTTGCAGCAAGGCACGGGGCAAGGCTTGCTTCCGGGCTGGCATTTCGTGCCAGGCTTGCAGCAAGGAGGAGGAGGAGGAGAGCAAGTGCACTGACTTACGCCATTCTTGACTACACACACAAGTTTACAATTCTTTGTAGTACTGCAAGTGCACTGACGTTTACCGCTCTTCACCACCCACACAAGCTTACAGCTCGTGGTAGACAGCTCTCTGCGCTCTGCTCCCGACACTTCTCCAGATCGGAAAAGAGAAGAATCATCCTCGGATACGCTGCCCCGCTGCAGCCTCGCCTCACCATTGCCTTTCGCGTGACAACCGAGAAATGCGACAGACTCAGCAAGCACCAACGTCAAAACAAGGAGCTTCAGGCACCGGCGCACAGGATCCGCCATTTCCCCCCCTCTCCTACCCCCCCCCCCCCCCCCTCTCGCTCTCTCTCTCTCTCTCTCTCCCTCTCTCTCACGCGAAGACGGACACCAAGCGTTTCTGCAGCACCAGATCAGAAAACAGTTGGTAATTTCACAAACCTAAGACGGTGAGACGCAGAAGGAGCATAATGGCAAAGCACTTCGACGTGCGAGCACAAGCTCTAGGCGACTTTGTTGGAAAATATGAGATATGGTGACCTCGCCCTTGCTCGGCTATGGCAGTTGATTGATCCGAGGCGCCTCTAGTGCGGCTGTGCTGATCCTCCGGGCTACCACGCCCCGCACTGAATCGGAGATGGAGCTCGGATGTTTTAAGTTAAAGATATCACCGAAAGGACCGTCACACGGTCACACCCTCACGGCACTCGCACTCGTTCCTGAATTTACCAGCCCGCCACTTCCGCCGGCTACTACCGCCATTTCGGCATTTCTGCGCCTGACTGCCACGTGATGAATTTGGCAGAATTCTCTCCCTGACCTCACCAATACTACAGAACTACTCCCGCCATTTTGTTTTTTACTACCGGCATTTTCGGTTGCCCCCTTCGGCATTTCCTTCTTTTTTTTTTTTTTACAAGAAAACCTGCTCATTCATATTACGCACAAAAACCTTCGGAATTTCCCAAGCAGCAAGCGCGGTTGAGGGGAAAAAAAAAAAAAAAAAAAGCCACTGAGGGCATACTTACACTACGAGTTCTTTGACTGCTCTCGGGACGTCGCAGGCAGAAGAAGCCGCAATTTCGGTCAGATTCGTCGAGCGGAGTCCTAGGTGGTATGGCTATGCTCTAAAAGAAGGATCCCAGTCCTTCGGGACATCCGTTAAAATTGGAACGATACAGAGAATGAAGGTTAGCATGGCCCCTGCGCAAGGATGACACGCATAAATCGAGAAATGGGCCAAATTAAAAAAAAGAAGGATCGTCACGGTGGCGATTCCCTCTATTGGTAGGAGTAATCTCCAAGCGCCCCGCCACACCACTCACCAAATGTGCAAAATGAGAATGAATCATCCGCTAGAACATGGAAAGATACACCCTTTTATTTATTTTTGTCTTTTCTTCATTTCGTGAGTGGTGCGGCAGAGGTCCAGAAGCTATGCGTCCTGTGGCAGAAGCTGATCTCTGCCCGGACGTTGACACTTGTGTTGTGGCACAACCTCGTGATCCCTTTCCTTTTTATTATTTATTTATTTATTTATTTATTTATTTATTTCTTAATTTATTAATTAATTTATTTATGTTTTATTTATGTTTTATTTATTTATTTATTTATTTATTTATTTATTAACTTGGTGATCCCTTTCCGCCATCGACACTTGGGGGCAGACGATGAGGGAACTGTTAGACGATGAGGGAGGTGTTTTTTTCGTGCCTGGCAGAGCCCAATTGGCCGTACTTTTCCGTGCCGGACGGAGCCCAATTGGCCGTATTTTGCTCGTCTGGCAGAGGCGCATTGGCTCATTTTATTTCGTCTTTTTTAGTGTCGTCTTTTCTTGGCTAGTGGGGTCGGGGTCCCACCACGGGCGTTTTTCTTTCTTTCTTTTTTTTTCCTTTTTCTTTTATTTATGAAGGCAATCATTCATTGCACATCGGTAAAGTTGGGGCCGGCCAGCTTTGATTTTGACGGGACCAGAGGACCCGGGGCAAGGTCCCATCTGCAAGGATTAAGAGATTCTGGCCGTTGATCGTTGCTATCTACGGTCGATATCCCTTCATTCGTGTAAGTGGGACCTAGCCGCCGAGTGGAACCAGAACCAAAGGAAAATTGAGAATAGGAGGGCTGAAGCTAGCAACAATTCAATACGCGCGGGAAGAAAGCGGAGATGGAAAGCAAGAGGTGGAAAAGGGTAAGGCCTACAGTAGTATGGTGAAAGCCCAGCAATCAGGCAAAGAGGAAGGGGGAGAAAGGATGGGCAAGGGAACTACAGAGAGAGAGGACAAATTGCTATCTATACTGGTCTAAGCTAAGGGGTGTGACTCATGTCAGTATTCACAGGCCTACTACGGCCGACCTACTGCTGTCAGTTGGACCGTGCTGGTACTCCTGTCCGAAATGGCTCTGCCTCCCACCACCCAAAGTTTGGCTTACTGCAGCCCTGCTTACCGAGTACCCTGGAAGAGAAGAGAGAGAGGGCGAGGGCAGAAGGAAGTGGAGGGGAAGGAGAATATTGCAATGCCAGAAATAGATGTGGGGAGGAGGGGGGCTGGGAGTCAAGTTGAGGCGGATGGAAATGGTAAAGGAAGGTACTTCAGCCTGGAAAGGGGGTAGGGGAGTGTTTTTTTTTTTTTTTTTTTTTTTTTTTTTT